TGCCTTCCTCTGTACTTGCAGGGGGATGTTTTCCCTTCAGTTGCTGTAAGGTCTCTCTGTTTATTGGCAGCACACCACCGGAAGATTACTCTGTGTGAGATCTTCCCGCCGAAGACAATTTTCCCACACGCTTCTTGTTACCAAACTTTCTGGCAGTATTCTCTGTGTTTTGCTTTCCGTCTCCTGTAAATTTTAGTCTCTGCTGCAATGTTCTTGCCTTACTTAGGAGATCGTCCAGTGTCCCGCTCTGCCACAGTGTCTGTCTTCTCTTAATTGCAGCTATACCTTCCTTGTACTTACTCCTAGCGTGTGTTCTCTGACAAAATAGATGACGTATTATTGCCAGTATGTAGAGAGTTATTGGGGCCAGGGAGCTGTCATGAGTGTAATATTGTATGAGGCGAGTTATCTCTCGGATCATTTCTTTGGTGGTCCCACATTTTGGTGGTTCAAAGAGGTCAATTGGAGACCACCTGACAACTTCTGAGTAGGTTTCTTTGACCCATTTCTCTGCATCTTCCCTCGACTGCCTTTCCAATATGATGGCTGATAACCTTTGTAACATATTTAAAGTTTAATTATTGAATGTCAAACTCTCAGATAATTCACACCTACTGGCCTAATATATTACTTAATATGTAACACGTCGAATCAGGTGTAGGCTCACGGTGATGGTGACTTATGAATATTTTTGTTATATGTTAACCTCAAGCTGGTCAGGAGGTCTAGCCGCCCACTGCGATTTGGGCGTTGCGTGGGGAGCATGGTTGGAGAATATACTACTACCACCACTTAACGTGGCCTTGGCCTCCCCCAATACACCTTCGCGCCATTTTATTTTGTAATAGTAAATCTCTAATACGCCGGAAGCTATCCTATCTGTGTTAGATTAGTTGAGCCGCGGATCCGTAAAGCATTCAGTGTTTCAATGGCCTCATAGTCAATATCTGCGCGGTTGTCGGAGTAGGGCAGCTCTCTCGATTTCCCCTGGGGCAGGCAGAAGCCGACCAGAAGGAGAAGGACAGTCGACATCTCATCGAGCTGTGACATAACTTCCGCAAGAGCTTAACCAGCTGCATTCCGGAGATCAGCTCCGCGAGTCTGGCGTAAAGGGAAACATCTTGCGCAGGCCCATCCACAGAGGTTATGAACACGGGGAGTGAAGCTGCCTTGATCCAACATTGCAGGAATTCTCTCCCCATATGCCCTTCTCTTGTCGTTATAGATTTCCTCCTATCACGCAGCATCGAGGGGCAGTTCTGATGACAAACGGCCATGGGATCAAAATCCTGATGTCGGCTTCGCTGTCCCAGCGTCCAGAATCACCTCGAGCACTGACGTCCACAGGCTTCGTTAGATGTGTTTGAGGTCTGTGGTGGAGGAATCTCGCCATCCAGTGGAAGGAGGTCGGTTCTACCACGCAACGTCCGGCAAGACTGCTTCGCATATTTGCTGAGATCCATACCTCGTCATGCCTAATGCGCCTTAGAAGCGCCCTTCTTGCAAACCATGGCGTGATCGCCATCATAGAACTTCACACACGCATTGGGAGGCAAACCATCTACTGGCCAGTACATAGAGCAATAACTCTGTAAATTCTTTGTTTGGTAAGGCTGAAACAGTGCGCACATATCGGTAACGTAGTTAACCAGTTCGAGGCGCCCACCTCCTCTTCCTGCTTCACTTTTTTGTCCATTTCTGGAACCTGCAGCAATAGTTGCTGCAACATATCATTTTGGCAGTGCTGCTGATCTGTTGTAATGGACCTGGGATATGATAACTTCGCTGGTGTCCACTTCCCTGTTGCATTCATTTCATTATGCTGTGATCAGTATGAGGGGCTGCCGTGAGCTTAGAAATGAATTTTGATGTTCAGAGTCATAATCTCCTCTGGATTAGTTAGTCCCATCCCTGATCTTGGTGGAGAGTGCAAGAAGTGTTCTTTCTACTGGGGTTAAGTCGTGGTGTTTCACTGGTTTGGGAATGAACTTGACATTGCCTTCTTCTTCCAAAAGGTGGAGGAGGTCGGATCTCAGGGATAGTGCGCATCAGAATGGTTCCAACGATGCTTGACTCTGTAAAAGATGCTACCAAAGGCCGCATGTGTGGCTCTGTGTTAGCAATCTCCGATGAAACATGGTTCGCTAACCCACTCATTTTGCTTTCCCCCTCATGCTGGGTCTTGAAGTCCGTGAGTGCCAGTGCTAACGCCCTAGATGTCTTTTGGCGTCGCCAGACCAGCGCATTTTCCGCTTTCATAAAACCTCCATAGCCCGATCGCTTAGTCTGGCTTCACGATGAAGGATTTGCTGGCGTTTGGGTGAATACCCTATTTTGGCGGACCTCGCTTGATGTTACCAGTCCCACCACTTTTTGATGTCCTCCGCACCTGCTCCTGTGAGGTCATCAGCATATGCCACTTGTTTGACCCCAGTTGTTCATACTTTATTTCATTTATGGGCAGTAGGCCCTATTGCATACGGCCTGCCATTGCAACGGGGTCCCCTGTGTTGCAATTCCCTCAAACTGTAGGATGGTATCACCTCGTAAGTCTTCTTATTTGTTTACGTAGAGGTCTGAAGAAAGATTCCTGTACCCGAATTTTCAGCATATATGTAAAGCTAGGACACTTGATCTTGATGTTGTTGCGCAATGCCTTGCGGTTAGTATGTTGAATGCGTTTGAAGCATCCACCAGGAGAACGGCCTCACAATCACGCTGCCGAAATATCAATCTCATGGCGTGAATAGCCGCCTCCCCTCAACCTGGTGGCAGCACTGCCATGGGTTCCCTGCTGCTGCCCTGACATCATCCTTTACCCTCCGTGCCACTTTCCGATGATCCGCCTCGGCACTTCCCCCACCCCTATAGGTCTACATCCTGGTTTCTTTTCAGAGGAATAAGGCGGCAGGCCGTCAGGGGCCTGGAGGTGATGGCAGCAAGAAGGATGCAAGCTTTCTTGCAAAAATTGCTTAATGGCAGTGCGAGAATCGCTTGCTACAGGGCCAAACTTGTTTGTGCTGGATGACTCTTCAGCGTTTGCATAGAGCCTGAGGGCCGGCTCCTCCTCAGTCTTCAGTGCCCCTTTTCACATCTCTCCTGTTATTTTCTCGAACAGGACATTTAGGTCTTTAAACGCCCTAATTCTAATGCCCTTCATCTTCGCTTGCAGGGGATGTTTCTCAACAATAGTTTTAATGTCGCTCTGTTTATTGGCATCACTCACGGAGAGATTCATGTGTGAGATCTTTACATGAGGGCTTTTCCCGCATTTTGTTTCCAAATTTTCTTGCCACGTCATCGGTGTTTTGCTTTCCGTCACCCGTAGATTTTAGTCTCTCCTGCAGTGTTCTTGCTTCCACATAGGAGATCATCTAGGAACTGATCTGCCACATTATCGCCTTCTCTTTACATTGCTGCCACATTTTCTTTGTGCTTTAGCCTTTGTGTGTGTCCTCTGACAAAATAGATGTGAGTAATGTGCCAGTGTTGAAGAGCTAGGGGGCGAGAAGCGGTCCTGTGTAATCAGTCATGTGATGCTCTCCCGAATCATTTCTTTGGTGGCACACTTTGCCCGTTGGTTTCAAATAAGTTAGCGGGCGACCACTTGACAATTTCTGGTAGGTTTCTTTGACCCATACGCCTGCATTTTCCATCTGACATGCCATTCCGCTGAGGCGGCTGTCTCTCATTCTCCTCGTGGACTTTTACTGAGGGCAGCACATTTATTCGACCTGCTACATTATCGGGTTGAGTAGACTCACTGCTGCTCATTTAGATATCATCAGGTAGTTGGGTCCGGCGATATCCCTTTCATAAGCCCGCCTGTGTCGGCTCCCTGCGACCTGAGGTTCCGACACGGTCACTCCTGCAATCACGCCTTGGTCACCCTTTGTTTTATACTTTCAAACACAATTTATTGCAGTTTCCGGATTCAGGCTAGCACAGACACCCAGCAAGGAATGTTACCAGGCATAGTAGTGAAGGCCAGCACCTTGGTGACAGTGGCATCCGCCTCCGGACATCTGATTTAGTCCCAGGCACAGGAATTATGCTGGGTTCTTTATGAGGGAAGGGCGGAGAGGTGACAGGCTGGACTGATGTGTCCAGGTGTGGGGCATGCGTGCGCGCGTGGTGTGGCAGGCTACCCCCTAATAGCGACCATCCATACATCAGGGAGCGATACACTATGGACAAGAGTTTACATGCACCCGGAAGCACTGGTTGCTGTTTCGCGGCACAAATAACCGCTGTTTACTGTCAGATCTCGCTGGTGTAATATCGGTTAATGTATGCTCACTAAGGTTCGTCGAGACCCTAGGCATTGAAGTCCGTTACTATGGTGGGGGGGTGGGGGCGACCGCATGGGCAGCACTCTCGGCTTTATAAGGGGCGATAGTCTCAGGACCACCCCTGTCACAGTAAATGCTGACACTGACAGCGCCAAAAACCTTCTCATTATCTACCACTGACCCAGCACAGGTCACCACTCTCACTTGGTGAACGCCGGTGAACACACGGAGATATTTACAATTTATACTGCGTAAGGGATGAGGAAAGACGCCAGGTGATGATGCTTTGGTGACATCCGATATTCACGGACACATTGTCAAATTCGCTCCCCACAGCGAGTATGTCCCCACCAATAACACTTTAGGTCAGGAGGGACGGTCCACGACACCCACGCTGCGCCGGCCGCCCGCCACTGCTACTACCACTACTACTACTAATAATAATAATAATACAATTGGTATTACTGATGTTTATAATAATAATTCATGGTTTATTAAAATAAGGTCTATATCATAATATACAGTAACATGTTACGGTTATGTTTGTGTAACAGTACATATTTAGGAGTGTGTGTATGGGTGTATATCTGTGTGTTTGTGTATGTTTTTTTTTGTGCACATGTAAGACTCACTAATTGTTGGAGGGGAAAAACTGTGTTAAACCCAAACGATGAGCGAGAAGACCAACCTCCACTCTCCTCCTGACAGCTGTGAAGATGTGGCGTGAAGGGTTAAGATTTACCTGCCCCTTTAGTCAGCCCAGACGGTGTGACCTGACCCGACATACCTTGACCTTGTACCTGCTACTGCTGCTGCCCATCGTCAGTGCCTCCGTCAGGGAAGGTAGGTCACAGATGCAGTAGAGGTCGTTCTCAAAGGGTTAATGTTTCATTAAGGCAGTGTTGTGCAAGAGAAGTTTGTAGTCTTAAATAATGTTAATTTTACTATTCTTAACGGTTTAGGTTTTATCGTGGACGGTATTTTGACTGTTTACTTACCATTAGCAGAGTGTTGGTTATTATTACTGAGTGTCACCACTACTGTAGGTGCCATCTATTGTGTTATAGCTAAGTGTCACCTAGTGTTACAGCTAAGTGTCACCTGGTGTTACAGCTAAGTGTCACCTAGTGTTACAGCTAAGTGTCACCTGGTGTTACAGCTGTCACCTAGTGTTACAGCTGTTTCACCTTGTGTTACAGCTGTGTCGCCTAGTGTCACAGCTAAGTGTCACCTGGTGTCACAGCTAAGTGTCACCTAGTGTTACAGCTAAGTGTCACCTGGTGTTACAGCTGTCACCTAGTGTTACAGCTGTTTCACCTTGTGTTACAGCTGTGTCGCCTAGTGTCACAGCTAAGTGTCACCAGCAGCTGCCTCACACACTGTCCTCCTACAGTGATAATCTTCCCTGACAAAACCGACGACGGGGAAACGTGTCGACCGCTGGGTGGAGGTGACGGGGAGTGTCTGGACCTGTTCCTCTTGCCCTCCGTCGTCTCCACCTTCAAGAAGGTCCACCCTGCCCTTTGTGGCTTCAGGGGTAAGGTTCCCATAGTCTGCTGCCCCAAGTCCTTCTGTAAGTATAGCACAGCTGCTGTTGTTGTGTATGTGTAACTTAATAAGATAGTCCAAGTAGTACACTGTGGTAGTTGAGATTACGGCAGATAGTGCTCTCTCTCTCTCTCTCTCTCTCTCTCTCTCTCTCTCTCTCTCTCTCTCTCTCTCGGAAAGAAAAAAACCGTATCTTAATTATGTACTTCTTATACTGTCAGGTGGTTCTCAAGTGTTTTACCCCGCGGCCCCTAACGAGCCCATCTCTGACCCAGCACCCTTCCCCCACCCCGCGATGTTTAAGTGCATTGGATAATACTACAGTTCATTAAATGTGTATACGGAAGCAAAGACCAGCCTCTTGACAAAACAATTCAGAAAGTATTCACAGAGGTAACACAAGCAGGTACGGCACTCCTTAATGATAGGGTTTGTACGGACTCATACCCATATTTCATATCAATAAAAACAAAACAGACATATTCCATTTTAGTTGTAATTTTTAACCCATATGTATCCAGGGGTGAATATTAAGAGGTTTCACGAGCAAGTACTTTTTAATGAGATGGTTGGCACTAGCTCTTTTTCACTTTAAAATCTAAGTTGCTATATTAGGTTATGTTTGTGTGCATTGTTTTGATCCCAACCAGCGCTGAAAATTCTACCTCATACAGATACGTTAGTGAAAAGGGGAATAATGGCTTGAATGCTCGCTGGCTTACATTCTGATACACTGCATTGGAAAGGTGATTCCTGGAAAGGCCGAGATCAAAACCGCTTCAACTAATATCAGGAAAATATCGAAGGAACTTGTGAAAGGTGACTTATTCTAGGCTTTAAGGCAACCACTGAGGTTTTTGTTATTCAAGATTTTTTCTTATCAGCATATCTCACTGACCATCACATCCCTCAGTCTAAGAACCACTTACTTTGAGAACATTTTTATAGTAAACTTCGTGTGTGTGTGTGTGTGTGTGTGTGTGTGTGTGTGTGTGTGTGTGTGTGTGTGTGTGTGTGTGTGTGTGTGTGTGTGTGTGTGTGTGTGTGTGTGTTTGTGTGTGTGTGTGTGTAATTTTCTTGATATTAGATCATTGTTCTTTTTCTTCTTCGTTTTCAAAAGTGCACCTGGTTCGTCTCCCAGGTATACAAACAACATTTTCACGGTAATGGAAATAAGTGCATGGTACTTTGTTGGGCTATCCTCGGTCGAATCCACTTACTGTTTACCATTGCTTGTATACCTGCATTGACCATGCACATTGTTTCTTAACCTACTCAGTCTATCTACTGTCTGAATCAGTGTAAACTTGTATCTATCTATCTACAATGAGTGTTGGTTTGTTGACAGATATGGAGCAGCCGCGACCCACCTCCCCCTACCCAACTCAACCACTACCACCACCCGCCGTAGACGTCAGTAAGTTCCTCTTCAGGTGCCAGGTTGAACAAAAGTCTCAAAAGTCCGGACGGTGAACCTTCCTACTCGTCACTGGCTAAGTAAGAACGTACTAACTGGTAGGCTTAAGCTGAAACACAAACTCAACGATCAAGATAGCATCAATATTGCAGTCTCAACCCTGACTAAATACTTTCACTTAAATTAATGCACAAAATCAACTTATTTTGCATCCTTAATCTGGCTGCCATTGCGAGTTCCCTCAAGCCACGTCAGTATAGTTTTACTACGATGTAAATAAACACAAAGGTTCCCACATTTCACAAAATCCACCGACCACTGTACCAGGTGGAACTGTGACCGACTTTATTCGTCACCGTGCTAAAGCTGCTACCATAATACAAGCACAGATGTCACTCTTAAGTTCATAGAATGTCCTTTGAGTTGTTAAACGAAAGAAACGGATGAGGTTATACTCATAATAGCAGTTGACATAGGTATTCAGATAATACATACATACATACATACATACATACATACATACATACATACATACATACATACATATATACATACATATATATACATATACACATACATACATACATACATACATACATACATACATACATACATACATACATACATACATACATACATAAAGATAGGTTGATAGATATAGCAGTGTTCAGAAAATTCCTCAATAAATGTAGTTATATTTTACAAAATAAGGCTTGGGATCAATTTATTCCATCATCAAGTGAAAATATGTGAATAAGGAGAGAGAGAGAGAGAGAGAGAGAGAGAGAGAGTGATATACGAGAGGCAGGTCAGTGTGGAGGCTTCAGCACTATGTTTGTTGTAAAGGTCATGAATTTTCCTTTATTAGACTTCTAGGAATCACAACCACATTATTGGTGTGTGTGTGTGTGTGTGTGTGTGTGTGTGTGTGTGTGTGTGTGTGTGTGTGTGTGTGTGTGTGTGTGTGTGACGGGATCTTTCGGGCTCATAATGAAAATGTGAGCGAGTAGTACTAAAATAACAAGAGTAAAGTAACATAAAAGGCCCTCCAGCCTCTGAGGGAGTTGTGTCACGTCGTGTGTAGATTATGAACATACATACATACATACATACATACATATATACATACATACTACATACATACATGCATACTACATACATGCATACATACATACATGCATACATACATACAGTACATACATACATACATACATACATACATACATACATACATACCAAGTGACAAGGATGAAAATGGTTCAGTGGAAAGACAACAGATGGATGGAAGTGAGTAGTAGAAGTAGATATAGGCGTCATGGCTTAACACAGCATGCCTGATTGTTATAGGATAGTAGTAACGGACCACTAGCACCACGACCGACGTACAAGACTCACACTGCCGCAGCTGGAACCCAGAACCCTGGTAAGTTCTGCCCAGTGGAAAAGGAAGAGGTAGGTTAGTAGTAGAGTTGTTTGGTGACAGATGAAGGAACAGTCTGTGAGCTTATGTCAAAGATGGAACGACGCTAGTTGGAAAGGAAGGGTTTTGAATCTAAAATCTTAAAATGCCAGAGTATTCCTTGGGAATAATCGAACCTTAAGCCTCATTGGTTACAATATTGCTGTTGCATCGTCAGAGTTTGAGTGGAGTGTTGAGAGGAGAATATCTGAACTCAGAGCGGTTTAATGTGTGTACCTGGATTGTTCTCAGGTCGGCCAGGTGTAGATAAAGGAGTATTATTGATTTATCATTTCCACCACTTGTCAGTGTACACGCCGTTCGATCTGTTACGACCTTCATTGTCCAGTGTTAATTCTGCTATTGTTAGTTCACACAATTTTTCCTTGTTTTCCTTTCCGATTTCCATTTTACGCGTTAAAAAAATATATTATGAATATCACGCTAGACAAAAACAAGAAAGAGTATGTGTTGATTCTTGTTTGCACGTTGACGTTATAACGTTACCACTGCTCTTCAACAAGTAAGATCTTTCACCATGTAACAAGGTATAGTCACTGCACTACTGTTTAGGAGAGTTATATCTCTCATTGTTTTTTAATGTTGTTGGACTAATGTATTACGCGCTTAATGAAAGACCTTCTTTGTTGAAACGCAGTAATAGCAACAACAAAATAACTACAGTAGTCTACCAACAAATATTATCTGAGTGTTGTTTGTAATTAAATTATATCCGATATAAAATTATGAAGATTAATTTAGTCTCTTAACATTACCCAATATTGATAGCTTATGTTTTTCACCTACTACCTTATCTTTGCCAATAACTCAGTGAATAGGTCGAAATAGTTAATCTTTTACTTTATTTTATCCTCTTCACCACTAATCGGCTCGTTAGTCGCTTGGGCGATCGGTCACGCCTCTGTTACGAACTGTTGGCAAGTACTGGGCATGCACCGCTCTCCTGAATGTACCTGAACCTGCTCCAGTGTTGGTGAAGTCTGGTCTTAAAAGAGCTCACATTTGGTGCCGTCTCAATACTTTCAGGTATATTGTTCCAAGAGTTCACAACTGAAAGCACCATATGGCTGGACGCTGTAATAAAGAAAACTGATAATGTCCAATATATGGAAGGGGTTACTCTAGAATATACACCAAGGTCGCGCCAATCGGAGTCCCAGAGAAGTGTTAAATTCAAACTGATTTATTTTCGTACATATGAAGTAAATATTAATTACGCAAATAAATGTAGAATTAGCAACAACAATAGCATGTACCATATCTCTAACAGACGAAATTCAATGTTACAAGTTAATTATTTTACTAAGTCTCTTCCAAGGTCGGTTTCTCGAAACAGAGGATTTTCCTGGAATAAGTTATTTTAGACTACACTTTGGCTGGCAGTCTCGTTGAATAAACGAATGATAATTTAATTCAGTGAGTGAATTCAGGGTTAGTAACAACGTGTTCCTGCATAAACCTTAAATACTACATCAGACAGGGGCGTTGGTGGTGACATGCGTATTGCGTATCTCACCATTATGTTCTCCGTTTGAGTCCAGGCCAGGGACAGACATGGGAAGGGTGTTATCCTGTGTGACCCTACCAAACATTACAGGTTTCCTCCTATACTAACACTAGACAATATAGTTCATAGAAAACTAACAGAACGTACACACACACACACACACACACACACACACACATATATATATATATATATATATATATATATATATATATATATATATATATATATATATATATATATATATATATATATACACAACACAAAGCGCTCAGCAAAAACTAGTTATGTTATGAAGATTTATACAGTAGATCTGGGGCCTGAACGACTGCTTTTGGATGCTGGTGGGCGATTTTCTGGGGGGAGGAGGAGGAGGAGGAGGCACAAGGACAGGCAACAGCACAGGTGTTGGACAGATAGATACTAAAAGATGTAAAATAATATATATATATATATATATATATATATATATATATATATATATATATATATATATATAAATATATATGTATATATGTATGTATATATGTATATATATATAAATAAATATATATATATATATATATATATATATATATATATATGAGAGAGAGAGAGAGGGGGGGGGAGAGAGAGAGAGAGAGAGAGAGAGAGAGAGGGTAACCCATGTCGTTGCAGAAAATATTATAAATTAAAAAAAAATAATAATAATTTCGATTAATTTTAGATCGAAATATCTGAATTCGAATCACTTAAAAAAGGAACATCGACAGAAACTTAAGACCTACAATATACGTGTGTTAACAGAGTGTGGTCTTGGCGGTAGCAGCAAGAAGAAGAGGCCGCCCAAACTTGCTGGCTTGATAGGTGGGGTGGAGGCCAAACCCAACTCCTGGCCTTGGGTGGTGAGTGTTGACCTTCTCGTGGCTTGTCCTATATTGCCTCTTTTACTTGTTCACTTTATTATTATACAGTAAAAGTTGTCCTGTTTTCCTGCCTCTTTGGGTGGGACATGATATTGCTGCTTGTTACTGAACTGACTCATTCGTGCTACTGATCTCACTTGACTTCTGATACAACCTGACCTTATTCTCATTTATACTAGTAAACTGAGCTGACCTTTATTCACAATGCGGACCTGACCTGACAAATTCATGGCACTAGCCTGTCCCCTCCATGGTTCCAACCCTCATTCATAGGTCTGACCTAACCTTTTATTCACAGTATTGACCTGACCGCCACTCATAGTACTGACCTGACTTTTATTCACAGTATTAACCTGACATGACCCTCATCCATAGTACTGACCTGAGCTGACATGACCCTTAGTCATAATACTCACCTGCCCTGAAGTGGTCCTCATTCATAGTAGTAACCCGACCTAAAGTGACCCTCATTCATTGTACTAACCTGACCTGACCCTCATTCATGGCACGGACCTGAAATGACCTTTATCACCAGGCCGCCGTGGGAAGTATAGAGAGGGGAGGAAAGGTGAACTGGTTCTGTGATGGAGTGTTGATAACACCTCAGTTTGTCCTGACAGCTGGCCACTGTGTCTGGTAAGTTTAGCTCACACACAATTATTAATTTGTTTATTACAGGCAAAATGGAGGCTTACCTCCTTCTCCACACTATCCCACGAATTCACCTTCCTCCTAACAGTATTCCCAAATACTTAACTTATCTTAGGAAGGGTTTATGAGTTTTCAATAAAGTTCTATGAAGACATCAACCAACTGTTCATTGAAGTGTTGAGGTGCTGGTTGTGTTTTTTCTCATACGTTCTGTATCAGTAAAAACATAATAGCGCGAATCTTGTTGGACGTGTAATTGCTCTCTCTCTGGGTGTGTATACAGCTCTTATTGACTGACTGTGTCCAGTGCTGCCAAAACTAATTTCAGATTGGCTTTAGATTGACACCTGAAGCGCGCTAGAAAAGTGCTAGATATGAGTATGCTACATTTTCTCAAGGTATCTTGTTTCGATGTTAGCTAAAACGTTTAGTACAACACATATATGGTTATATAATTTCATTTCTCAGACAGTAGGCTTTATTTGCCCAAATTACTCCAGATCAAATGCATCCCATTTCTATACAAAAGTCAAAGTCTCAAGCATGTCGACTGTGACGCTGGAGAAACGCTCTATGGTTCCATGGTGCCATTTTTTTTTTAACATTACCAGGCGGGTCACAGATAGCAAAGCACTTTTCTTTTCTCTTCAATCCATACCTCACACTCATTGCATTCAGTGTAGAGATTTTTCATCGTGTTGGGAAGCTCAGACGTAATCAGGTTCTTGTTGCTGAAGGAACGTTCACTGTGTCCCACACCACTAGTCAACGTCTTGACACATAGTGCGGAAACAATCCCCGTTTGACATGTCATACCTAAGATTATTACTTGGCATTATAAAAAAATAAATTCCATACTGCGCCTCTCTCTCTCTCTCTCTCTCCTAACTACTAAGTAGTTCAACATACTATTAACTAATGCTTACACTATAGAAAAAACATCACTGAAGACTCGAAGCAGTGGCGTAAACATTCATAAACATACCAATGCCAGATGGACACATGTAAAGCCGGTCACTATTGTTTGCTCTTACTGACGAACAGCCTTGTAATACCTGTAATTATCCCAGGTACTTCGAGGTTGACCTAGTCCGTCTGGGTGGGCACAACCTGACTACACGGAGACCCGCCCAAGTGGATGTGAGGGTGAGCGTCACCACCTTGCACCCACTCTACAGCCCGCCTTCTCTCGCCCACGACCTGGCTATCCTGCGTCTCGATCACCCTGTCAAACTTAGCTCTCAGGTGAGTTGGTTCGATACCAGGTGTTAATTGTCTAAGGTGAAGAGATAATTACACTGATTATATAACTTTCTATATCTACGTGTGTGTGTGTGTGTGTGTGTGTGTGTGTGTGTGTGTGTGTGTGTGTGTAAATTTGTATGTTTTTCAGATGTAGGTGTACATGGTGAGTGTGTATGTTTGTGTGTGTCGCGGTTTGACAGGTGTTTGTGATGCAATATACTGTAGGTGTGTGTAAGTTTCTTGTAGATGTTCAAGTGATGTTTATGATGCAGGTGTGGGTGCAGCAGAGGTCACAGGTGTTTATGATGCAGGTGTGGGTTCTGTACAGAGGTCACAGGTGTTTATGATGCAGGTGTGGGTGCTGTACAGAGGTCCAGGTGTGTATGATGCAGGTGTGGGTTCTGTACAGAGGTCACAGGTGTATGGTGCAGGTGTGGGTGCTGTACAGAGGTCACAGGTGTTTATGATGCAGGTGTGGGTTCTGTACAGAGGTCACAGGTGTGTATGGTAGGTGTGGGTTCTGTACAGAGGTCACAGGTGTGTATGGTGCAGGTGTGGGTGCTGTACAGAGGTCACAGGTGTTTATGATGCAGGTGTGGGTTCTGTACAGAGGTCACAGGTGTGTATGGTGCAGGTGTGGGTGCTGTACAGAGGTCACAGGTGTTTATGATGCAGGTGTGGGTTCTGTACAGAGGTCACAGGTGTGTATGGTGCAGGGTGCTGTACAGAGGTCACAGGTGTGTATGATGCAGGTGTGGGTTCTGTACAGAGGTCACAGGTGTGTATGGTGCAGGTGTGGGTGCTGTACAGAGGTCACAGGTGTGTATGATGCAGGTGTGGAGTTGTACAGAGGTCACAGGTGTGTATGGTGCAGGTGTGGGTTCTGTACAGAGGTCACAGGTGTGTATGGTGCAGGTGTGGGTGCTGTACAGAGGCCAGGTACATTCCAATACAGGTGTACTTGTTACAGGTGTCGCCCGTGTGTCTTCCTTGGACTGTTAAGGACTCACCTGACCTAGAGGGCCGGAGCTTCACTTTAGTGGGCTGGGGAGCTACAAGGTTCGGTACTGCTCTCTCTCTCTCTCTCTCTCTCTGTTCATATGGGTGTATGTATTTTACGTCTGAGGTAGGTGTAATTGCACCTGTTACGATGTTATATTTTTGTTAAGTTTATTTATACTTGTTAAGTGAGTGTATTAATGGATGTATCTCTGTATTAATTAAGTGTACTTACAGCATACTTCCTTAGTGGACATTTAAAATCTACTTTATTAGTTATCTACATCACAGCCTTCTTCAGGACTCGCAGACATGATGGTGGTATTATTTCCGGGGTCTGAGAGTGAATAATTAAACTAGCTTATTCACCGGGATAATCCATTGTACTCAAGGGGTTGACATCGTACTCAAGGGCTTGACATCGTACTCAAGGGGTTGGCATCATTCTCAAGAGGTTAGCATCGTACTCAAGATGTTGGCATCGTACCTAAGGGGTTATGGAGGAGAACTACTGTAGTTTGAAAAGTTATACAAGTAGATATCAGATAGAAACCTTATTGCAGTGTTATGTTATGTACACTACATTATACTACATAAATTAAGTCTTACTCTTGTGTGTGTGTGTGTGTGTGTGTGTGTGTGTGTGTAATAATAATAGAAAATAATAAACGGTTTATTAATAGAGTTGCAACCGGTGGCTGAAAATATACAAACTTACATGTGATTTAGACATAATAATATACGTTCAATACATTTACAGAGCTGTACAGTACATAAATTAGGGATCTGTTTATTATTTTAACAATAGATGGATGGTGCTATTCTTTATCTATGTGTGCGGGCCTTATGGGCTGAATTTTGTTGTAGTGGCGGACTGCGCGAGGTGGGCGGGGGGGGTTGCAGGTGGCAGTAAGTGGCGATGACGAGGATGGTGCAGTAGTCCACTACCAAACCCTGCTAGTGCGTGGTGGTGGAGGTCACTGAGCGATGGCATTTCCAGGGTGGAGAGAGCGTTGTTGTAGCCAGAGTAGTCTGTGCCGAGCATGATTCTGCAGGCTCTCTTCTGTACTTTCTCTAGCTGACGTTGTTGGTTAGAGTTGAGAGAAGACGACCAGGCTGGTGATGCATGCATTAATTTGGGGAGTTTAAATGCATTGTAGATAGTCCTCAGCTCTGGCATGGGTGCCCAAGACCTGAGTCGTCGTAGCATGTAGAGTCGGTACGAGGCTGCCTTGATAGTGTTGTTTACATGGGCCATCCAGTCCAGTTTGTGGTCTATAGTTACACTCAGGAGTTTGGCAGACTGCACTAACTGGAGAGGATGGGCATCCACTGGAACTGCTGGAACTTGCACTGAAGTGGTGGCGGTGTTGATGTGCATGACTACGGTTTTGGTGTGATTGATGGTGACCTTGTTCTCCATAGTCCATGCCTGAAGCCTGTCCAGGGTGCCTTGTAGCGATGAGTAGTCCGGTGAGGTGTTGTCCACTGTAACCCCCACAGTGCAGTCATCTACGTACTTCCACCTGTGAGGAGTGTCCGATAGAGCATCATTGATCAGGATTAGGAAGCACAGTGGTCCCAGCTTGGTCCCCCTGTAGAACACCGCAGGTGAGGTGTTGGAATGTGGAGACAGAACCCTGGTACCTGACTGCCTGACGACGCTCACTCAGGAAATCAGTGAGACATGAGACCAGGTTGGTGGGCAGCCTTAGTGCAATGGCCTTGTTGATAACAGTGTAGTGATCAACAAGGTCAAAAGCCTTCCTGAAGTCAACAAGGACAACGGCCAGTGACGTCTTACGTTTCTCCAGGTTTTTGGGCAGAAAATCCAGGACACTAACTAAGCAGTGTGACGTAGAGGAGGTCGTCATATTGCCAAATTGCTGTGGATCAATTGACTGATAAATACTAGCAAATGCCCATTCAAAAACAAAGTCTTCACAGAATAGACTGGGTATGGGGGTAATGGCAACTGGCCTGAGATCACTAGGGGACCTTGGGGATAGGGGTGACAAATGCGGTTTTCCATTCATTCAGTGGGGGGTGGTAAGTGTGTGTGTGTGTGTGTGTGTGCAGAGGCCGAGTGGCTACAGTGCTCGCTTCATGTCTTAAGGATGGTTGGTTTTCTCCTGGGCACCTCAGTCGACCCAGTTGTGAATGGGTACCCGACTTTAGTTGGGGAGGGTGATGGTGATCGAGAGTACTGTAGTTCCGGCAGTGTATTGTATTCGTCCCTACTGGTCCCCCAGGTCTGTGGTACACACTCCAAAAATATCTTCACGGATAACCCCGATGAATTTCAAAATGAACACTGCAACTCTTGTTGTCTAAACCCTTCGTCTGCTGTTTCATATTGTCGAACACCAAATCGTAAAGATACTTTTTGGAGTGAGTCTAGTTATTGTTCTATTAATTTTGGCGTAAAGGGAAGCCAATTCATACAGTTCGCCAAATTGAGGTTACATCTGCACTTGACTCAGTCGCTGACATGTGACATCCTCGGCAGGTGGAGCAGGGAGTGACGTGCTAGGAGGTGGACGTGACGGTGTTCCCGCCCAGTCGTTGTGATGCTGCTTACAAGACGCTGGGGGACTACTCCATCAGGTAAGTAATTGTGCTCTCTCTCCCTCTCTCTTGCTCTGTTATCTTTCTAAGTCTCTTGCTATCCATTTATATATATATATATATATATATATATATATATATATATATATATATATATATATATATATATATATATATATATATATATATATATATATATTCCCTCACATGTCTGTTTATTTATCCATGTATCTCTTACTGTTTGTTTAGATGGTGGAATTTTGTTCATTGTAATTTCGTTGCTGGAATTTTCGACCATTTGGAATATCACAACTACTCACACCGTTATCCTGACGCTACTGTCACGCTACAGCTTTAGGCAAATTGAAAGTGAAAAAAAAACTAGTACGAAACCTTGGATGTGTATAGAAAACAAAATTAAAAATGAAGAAAATAAATATGTCTTTCTGTCCCATCTCAACGTCAACAACACAACCAGGCTGACGTCCCCTCTCTAACCATAATTAACATAGCTGATCGGGGAGTTACCTATCCAGTTCCACCTCGTATATCAGGATTGTCTACGCTGCTAGGGAAGTGTCATATTACTTACTCATTTATCCACTTTATTCATTCATTTATTTATCTTATGTATTTATTTATTTATTGATATCTTCAATTGTTTTTTGTCTTTTTATTCACAATTCCTGAGTGTGTGAGTCAGTCCTTCGTCACGGATAAATATTTCCTAACTCATGGTGTTGTGAGGAGACGGAAATTGAATTAATTCTTCTGTCTTTCTTCTGCCTTCTTTCTGTCGGGTATAGAGAGAGAGACAGATCAGGTCCTCCTTCTGTCTCTTTTCTGATAGATACAGAGAAACAAGTTATTTCATATTTTCTGTCTTTGCAGGTTCCCAGACGGTATTGGCGACGACTTTCTGTGTGCTGAGACAGACAGGGAGGAAAAGATGCCTGTAAGGTAGGTTGTATGTGTATCAGTACAGTGTGTGTGTGTGTGTGTGTGTGTGTGTGTGTGTGTGTGTGTGTGTATGTGCAATATAAACGTGTATGATTGGTTGAACACTGTCGCCCAATGATTCTACCCCACAAACTAAAAAAAAATATCTATAGTCATTTCCTTCTTTTCCCTGTCTATTCTCCTTCTCCTCTCCCTCTTCTCTCGTTTCCTATACCTTTCCATTTTCCATTTCCTTACTCCTCGCATACACTTACGTCCATTTAACTCTCCCATTTCCCACCTCTCTCATTAGGGTGACTCTGGAGGTCCCTTGATGTACAACAGTTTCGGGAGGTACATGCTGGCCGGGGTGGTGAGCGCGGGTTACAAGTGTGGCTTAATCAACTTCCCGGGGATCTATACGGCCACCTGCCCACACCTGCAGTGGATCAGAAAGGTAGCCTTCTCAACCCTAACACCATCTACCCGGTTGGCGACGTTCTCTGGTTGGCACCCACTTTGAGGATGATATTTGCTCCAAAGTCTAGTTTATTTAGGCTTTGATTTGCTCAACCTGAACCGTCTTATGGATTTGGGATTGACTGACGATGCCTTGCAAGAAGCGCCTTCTCCGTAAGGCTAACTCCTGCAGTGTACGTAGACCACACCTCTTGTTGACAACCGACACCCAGCACTCGTAGAATCACTCAACCTGATGATCATTCATTTCCCTAAGAGTATTACCGATCACTCTGCATACAACGTGTCAAGAATATTGTTGTTTATAAGTTAACGCAGTTTTATTATTTACACCGATTTATTTTGTTTTTATTTTCTTGCTGAAAGAAGAATTTTGAACTTGTAGCATAGTAAAATTAATGATCTTAGGCTCGTAGTGTTTGTACAGCTTTAGGTAATGTTTAGAATGATATCATATGAACTTGAATGTCTTACAGAGTTTTTAAAGGTGTTATGTGGAGTTTATATGTACTTGTAGTTTGTGTTTACGTGTCGGTATATGTGAGTTAAACATCTTGTTACGGTGTCCTGATGTGTACTGATGACACCTGTTATGTGCACCAATTTCACCTGTTATGTGCACCAATTCCACCTGTTATATGCACCAATTCCACCTGTTATGTGCACCAATTCCACCTGTTATGTGTACCAATTCCACCAGTTATGTACCAATTCCACCTGTTATGTGTACCGATTCCACCTGTTATATGTACCAATTCCACCTGTTATGTGTACCAATTCCACCTGTTATGTGTACCAATTCCACCTGTTATGTGTACCAATTCCACCAGTTATGTGTACCAATTCCACCTGTTATGTCCACCAATCATGACTATTGTTTTTACATTTTCAAGTAATTTTTACCTCAGTTGTATTTTTTATATTAAAAATATTCAACCAATCATCGTAGTTTTGTACTAATTTATAATGTTTTTGTGCCAATCATGACATTTTTAGACCAGTTTTATGTTTTTGTACCCACCCTAAGTTTTTTGTACCCACCTTAGGTAAGTTTTTTTTACCCACCTTAAGTCTTTGTATCCACCCTAAGTTTTCGTACCCACCTCAAATTTTTGTCTCCACCCTTAATTTTTGTACCCACTTTAAGTATGTTTTGTACTCATCTCAGTTACTGTATTTATACATTTCTGCCTTTTTTATGTACCGTCTTTAACCACTTTTATACCAACATCCTGTACTAGTTTTAGCCTTATGTTGTGTAACCTTACCACGAACTGTGTACACGGGGTGGTGGTGGTGGTGGGAGGAGGTGAGAGAGGGGGGTGAAGGAGGAGTTGGGAGAGAAGTGGGAGGAGGAGGAGGAGGAGGGGATGTATCTCCCGTTAACCACTGTGTAAGTTCACTCACCAACGGAGAGAAACGCTCCTGTTGCCTTCCCCCTGTTAATACCTTCCTACATCTCTGAACTCAACATTGGAACCTTGCTTAGCTTCACAAAGGTATCCCGAAGAATTTGTAAAATAGTGTAAATATGAAAATTCCGGACTATTCAAATACCATACAAGAATACAGTTTTAATACGAGTTAATGATGATAATAATACAGTAGATAACAAAACATCACCAGCGCTGTGATGACGATTGTTGTTTAACCATTTCACAGCGGAGGTTACCCTAAGCTGAATAAAATCGTCTGGCGGTGGCCAGAATAAAATGACAAGTGCGTGACACGCGGTGAAAGGGTTAAAAGGAAAGAAACAGAGAAGCACTGACATACTCGCAATCAAACACAAGGAAAGAAATATAACCCACGGTCTATTTTCCTCATTTGCATATTAGGTAGTATCTTTAGTCCGATTAGAATACACTCACACTCTATAAGAACAGCCCAGTCCCAACCATTGTAAAAATTATCAATAAAAAGTAATCAACCAGTGTATTCACTCCCGGTCAATCTTACTTTTTGTACTGTCACTATGTTGAAATGCCCTGTAGTTTGAGCCTCTCCCCACCTAGTTATCATATATCATATTTGCATCACTTATGTTACTTGTATATTATTTGTAAATCAAGAGACTCATTCCCCAATTATGTAACTGTATATTTTTAGCCTTCCGGTTGCCATGCTCTTTTAATAAACAGTTAATTATTATTATTATTATTATTATTATTATTATTATTATTATTATTATTATTATTATTATTATTATTATTTACACACACACACACACACACACACACACACACACACACACACACACATACACTATTTCCGTGTACAGTACAGTATGTGACTTCACGACAACAAGATACGCAGCCGGGTACAGTGATCAGCTCATCTAGTGCATCCGTAACCAGGAAAACTGTGAAGGTTAGGGTTGACGGCTTGATATACATACAGATTACCTGATCCTGATATAAGCCACTACTGTTGTCGGACCTCCCTGGTTAAACAACTACGGGAAGGTGGAGTATCGCAGCACCTGACTAATTCCAGTCTAGGTTTTCCTCAAAATATTAGCTTGGTCACCGTGTAAATGTCGGGCACATGAACATAATAAATCACTTGCCTGGCCTCTAGCCTGGGTTCGGCCGGGCACTGTTACTCTGCACTGCCTGCTAGGGATCAAATAAATAAAGATTTTAAAGGTTAATAATATTTTATTCTGAAGTTGATGTTCGGAGAATCGACTTACTGTTTATCATTGTTTGTTTAGCTGTACTGTCTGCGTACAGTACATGTTGAATCACTGTGAACTTGTATGGTGATTTTATCGAATATATATTATCTATTAATCTATGTAACGTAAATCTACCTCGTCAGGATCTCAATTTGATGTTTGTTTGTTTGTTTGTGTTTTAGTTGTAAGTCTGTCAGTAAGATGCACTCGTACATCCCAATTTATAAGGAAAAATCAACTTGCGAACATCAGAAATTCAAAGTCCTGATAACATAACATCTTGCTACTCACGACGAATATTAAGGCATCATGTGATCAAGAAACAAGTTCCTTAGAGCTCCAATAATAACCTTTATACACAAGATGACAGAATATTCCTACATGCACGTTATCATGAGGTGATTTTTTTGCATCTCAAAGTTTGCAGTAAGGGTTCAGCTACATCTGATTCCACTTGGGGTTCACGTGAACTAACTTGTCCACAATCATACTGAGAGGACCACAGGTGATTGTAAATGAATTGGATGCTGTGATCTTCGTATCCCTGTAATTCACTTCGCCTTAAACTGTAGTACTTGTGGGATACACTAGCTTTTGTTAAAGACAGTCGTAACAGACACTGTTTATTGTTATGTTTTTACCTGTAGAAGGGCGTCTGACAGTTAGCAGCTGATTTAAAACACTGATAAATATGCTTGTATTTGTGGTAAGACTTCTGAGAACTAGTAGCTGTTGCAACACTAACTTTTGTGCTTGAGGATGAACTTGTGAGGAGCGATTACTCTTGGCAGAAAGTTGAACCATAATCTTGTTCTCTTCGTGGTAGAAGGTCTCGTTGGAGTTAGTTTGTTATTTAGTTACAATTGTAGAAGATGTTAACCTTCTTTTTGTCCCTCCAGGAGAGAGTGCTCGACCCTAGTGGGCCGTCCACCCAAGGATCAGGCACGATGGTTGGCTTCCAGGAATCCTGCGGGTACGAGAGGTTAGATGCTAGACTCGTACCAGAGAGACAAGCGCCCGCACAGGTAATCAACAGAGCCTGGCGTTCCTATTTTCCTCTTCACCAAAGACACCATGGGCCTGAGTATGATTAAGTATTCATAGTATGATAATAATATACGTGTGTACTTAGGTGTTTTACCCTTGATGTTTATGTTTACAGAGTCCCTTGATGTTTATATTTACACAATCCCTTGATGTTTGTGTTTACAAACTTCTTTGATGTTTATGTTTACAGAGTCCCTTGATGTTTATGTTTATGGATTCCCTTGATGTTTATGTTTACAGAGTTCGTTGTTGCTTATGTTTACACAATCCCTTGATGTTTGTGTTTGCAAATTCCTTTGGTGTTTATGTTTACAGAATCCCTTGAAGTTTATGTTTACAGAATCCCTTGATGCTTATGTTTACAGAGTCCCTTGTTGTTTATGTTTACAGGGTCCTTTGATGTTTACAGACTTCCTTGACGTTTCTCCACTTAGCAGTACAGTATTTCTCTCTTTTCCTCATCCTCCGTTAGTAATTTTACCCCCCCCCCCTCCTTCCTAGCCTTATCTAGATCACGCCCCTAGCCACCTGCTTCTCACCTTGGTAAACGCGAACTTCCCGTAGTGCATGATGGACTTGACGTCATAGGGCACCTGCAGTGTGGGGAAGCGATTATCCACCTTGAACTGTGACGACGCCCCTGGGGAGATAACACAAGTGGTCAGGTCAGGTATAGGTGCTGGTGTAGGTGGTAACATGGCCAACAGCTATAGGACGTGGTGGTGGTGGTGGTGGTAGGTGACATAACCCACAAACATAACACGTATCGGAAGCCAGCACAATAGTAGTGACAGTTGACATTGTTTTTCCAGTACCTACGTTAACACTACCAACCCGAGTGCAAAGTCTCTATCATGATTTAAAGCCTTATCAAAAGTCGTATGGAATTAGTGCGTCTTTTTTTTTCTAAAACTCCCTAATGAAGAACGAAAAACTAACACATTAGCTGGCAGTTCAAATCAAACTATAGACGTGTTAGGCGACGATCGTTGAGTGTGTACTAGTGGTTTATGGTTGTTACGGTGTTGACCTGTGTGTGTCAGCTTGTTACTTGCGGCTGTTGTGAGGTGATGAGGGGCAGAGTGCAGACTGCAGACTGTGAGGAGCAGAGGTCAGTACCCAGCAGTGTGTGTGTGTGTGGACGGTCACCTGTCAGAGTGAAGGGGTCACTAAGACATTTTGTGATAGATTCTGAGACCATACCGGGAGAGTGTTGTCAACACAGGCAGATAACATCACCTGGCGTTCACCTTCATGATGATGTGTATATGGGAGGTTTGCCAGACGACTGTTCGTCCTCCACCAACCAACAGTGAAGTTCTAATACTGTACGGGGTCTGTGGGCACTAGCCGTGATAGACATGCCCAGATGGAGGCAGCTATATTGCCCGCCCTCACGACTCTCACCCAGCTGACTCCCAGACAACACCCCCCACCCCCTCACACCAACTGGTAAGGACGCCAGATTTATTATGTTCCACCAACCAAAAAGGATATTTTGTTCTTAAAACTGTTTTACTTTTTTGTGGGGATATGCTCGCAAAGTTAACTTATGGAAAAACTTGTGGTCTTTTTTTTAAGATGCGATGGTAAGGGAAATGTTTATTTGACTATGTAAGGATCAACGACTACTCTTAATAATACAAAGATTAAAGTCCATTCATTAAAATTGTCTGAGAGCTTATTTCTGAATCTGCTGAGTACTTGTCGTCGCCTCATCAAGTACTGGACCAGGGTGATGTAGGGTAAGGTTCTTGTCTTGTCCATTAACACTGTCCTGAATTTTGTTTTGAATTACGGAACGAATTAGTCAGTTCACTACAGATAACTTTTCTTATAGATAAAATTAATAAACCTTAAAGTTAAATATGACACGTGACTAAGGTGTGAACCTTCAAGAAATTAATTGAAAGATATTGCTGACATGTATCCTAGTGACGTTATTGAATTTGTTTCTTATAAAGGGTTCAATATAGGGGTTCACAGTTGGTATGGTAGTGTGTGTGTGTGGCCGTATATACAGTATACATACAGATGGTGTTAATAGTGTTTTTATTGGACCAAAAAGCAGTGTTATGCCAACATGTACGATGACCACCAGTAGAGAAACGCTCTGTACACACACACACACACACACACACACACACACACACACACACACACACACACACACACACACACATACAAGGACAGGCATACTAAATATAAACCACTTCAATATTAAAAACTGAACCAACCAAAAATACGGTCGAATACAAAAGCACTCACCGTCCTTGATGTTGTTCCACTTGATGATAATATATTGGTCACGGTCTGGTCGTGCGTGTTCGTGGGGGAAGCCGAGTGAGTGAAAGATCTCGTGCCTGATTCTGCCTGGTTTTACGCAGCCCTTCCCCAGGTTGATGGTCACCTGGAGGAGGAGGAGGACGACCAGGGGAGAAGGAGATGGAAAAGGAGGAAGAGCAGGAAGAGGAGTAGGGGGAGGAAGAATAGCAGAAAGAGGAGGAGTAGGAGGAAGAATGGCAGAATGAGGAAGAAGGGCAGAAAGAGGAGTAGGAGGAGGAAGAATAGCAGAAAGAGCAGGAGGAGGAAGAATGGCAGGAGGAGGAGAAGAATGATTTATAAAAACTCGTGATTATTATTTTAACGATAATTCTATTAGAGTTTATTAACATTAACAGTTATAATAAGAATGGCAATAATGATAATGCATGTTTTGTGTAGGTGACAACACTTAACCAGGGGGGCGAGGTAGCTAACTCACCTTCTTATCATAGGAAGGGTAACCGAGGGAAGATGTCCAGCAGCCACCTGACCCTGACTTAATGAGGAGGTACCTGGCCTCCCCTGCCCGCTTCTGTAGGAGGAGCAGCAGAAGACCAAGTGAGAGAAGTTGGTTGGTGTTACAAGGAGTCGTGAGTGGTGGGGTGGGCAGGTTAAATAGGCCTCGGTCTTAGTGATTCCTAATCCTGATGGGGCCAGTTATAATGGGTATTTTCCGAATGCATCCTTATCCTAATGGGGTTTGGTCCTGGTGGGTGTTATTCTATTGGGCCCTATTCCTTGTGGGCCCCAATCATAAAGGGCCCCAAACATGATGCTCTTCCTCTTTACTACGTTAGATTATAATGGGTGTTGCGGTGTTATTTTTATTGTAGTGTTTGGTGAGGAGGACCACTCAGAGAAGCGTACACACACACACACACACACGCATAATCAAAAAAAACAATATTTGTATAAAAAATCCGCATATACTCTTCAATAATTTGTAAAACTTCATTCACCTTTAGTATTTAAATTACTTAAAGAAGTAGGAGAGAATAGGTGGTAACGTAAGCAAACTTGATCAGTCATATGCTACAGTATATAAATACTGTATACTTTAAAATTCTCGTGGTAAAACTTATGGACAAATTATTATTCATCATTTATGTACTTAGACACAATATTAATTTCTACCTAGGAAAGTAAACAGTTTATAAATTAAATCAATCAGCAGAATTCTTAATATATTTTACATATCGTATTAGCCATCCGCATACTTACCTGTACACGAACGCTGAGTCACACGGAATGTTTGTAAACATTGGCGTGCGGGCGTAACGTTACACTGACCTTAAATTTGACGCAGGTGTTGTCCTCTATGTTGCGCAGCGCTGAGGTCACAATCTCCTCTAAGTAGGGTGAAGGAGAGAGAGATAGAGCAATAACAATAAAAACAAAAGAGTAAATAATTGGTATATATCTTTTGTCTGAATTTTATGTTTTTTTTTTGTTTTTTAGGTACTAGGAAATTTGTCATCTGTTTTGTGGATTTTCAAGAATTCAGTGGGGCAAAAACACAACAAACTTATACATTGCTTGTAAAAAAAAAGGGAAGGATAAGTAGTTAGGTTTGCTATCGGTCATATACAGTAGGTTGGCCGTTTGGAGACACGGGTTACCACATCTGGTGTAGGAACACATTTCCACAACTGTACCACGAGTGATGCAAAATTGGGGAAATTGATAAAGACAAGCCAACAATTTTTGAAGGGGTGGGCGTGGATTGTCTTCATTACTATTTTAACTTTTTCTTTTATCTATAATTTGTCTGACACTTGTCACTTACGACGAAAAGACAAAAGACAGTGTTGTACATACAGTATGTCAAAATTTTCACTTTTATAGTAAATATAAAGTTAAGTAATTTTTTGTCCTATGGATTTTAAGACTAGTGATTTTGCCATTTTTTATCATTTTAACAATTTCCCGATCACTCAGTGTTATGAAACCACTACGAACCAACTATAATAACATACTCGGGGTGTTGACCCTTCATGTGGCTACTAGCAGCCGTAGGTGATGACTTAGTGGAGGTATTAGAGCCTAGACTACAGCTTAGACCCCAGATGATAGGTTTCTCACACATAACTGCATTTTGGAGTTTCATCTCATATTACTTTGTACTGAAAACCTAGTTATCATTTTACATGTCTTGTTGGGCTGTAAACTATAATTTAGAACCATTGGTGGTAACATGTCTCCACAATCATTGTCATAAACGTTAACTTGCTTGTTTTGTTAGAGCCCCAGATGACATAGGGTACAATGGCGTTGGGCCATGGACGGATGGTATTTGTCACGCCTCTTGCGTCTCTTAACTCTTCCGGGGGTTGCACCTCCACGTCGCCCTCCTCCACATCCAGATCCCTCTCCTCCAAGGCTAGGTCTACCTTCACACCCTCTTGCCCAGGAGGCTTCAACTCCAAAGGCTTCCATATATGTGCGTCTTCGTTGCCACCTTCTGCAGATTTACTTTCCCAGAGGACATCGTTCGTCTCTGTTGTATTAGAAGCGAATGTCTAAGAGGTTTGAATAGTTATCTTTTTGATTTATTTATAATATGATTATGAAAGATGAATCCGTGTGGATTTTGTTAGGTCTAAAATGATAAATACTTAGACATTTTTTTGTACATAATTCATCCAAGACAACGTTCAAACAACCTCGCCAAGGACGAGACATTCAGCTAATTTTACCATCTATAAACAGGGAGATATTCACTGTATACGCTTACGGACTCATTCCCTCATCCGACAGAAACATTTAGACATATTCCTGACATTTTACCATTCCCGTCCGTTGTAAACATTCTGGTACTCATGTATAAAGTCCTAAACACCGGCAGCGTCACTTATTATAACTATCCAGGATCCAGGCTACCTATGGTCAGTACTGGAACTCATCATACATAAACCTTCTGGCACTCGTTTATGATTCATATTCAGATATTCTCGTCCAGCATAAATATTCATATTCATCCAAGATTAACACTGACTATCTCGAGCCAAGAGTCAAAGATCTTCCTGGAACAATCCCTGAGTAGACACTCCACACTCCTCGTGGGCCAATAAACTAAGTAAAATATATATAATTTAATGCCATTGGCTTTTCAAATCAGAGGCAACTATCCACCGGCAGTGTATAGCCTGGAATAATTGGGAGGAGATGCACTTCAGAGGTAGTAGGTAGTAGGTAGCTCCCAAACAGGGAGGTACCACCGCCTGGGAAGATATTGGAAGCATAATGTGTTGTCTAATGGTAGACCCTGCTGCCATATGGCATCACGAAAATTGTGACCAAGTCCCAGGTTGCTGATCTGATTTTCTGCCTCATTTACACACAATTGCAGGGTCTCAAATGTTTCTCTTACTATTGACAACATAACATACATACTGTATATTGTTTCTCACTCTTAATATTTGTTTTTTCATTTTTGTATTTCATTATTATTATTATTATTATTATTATTATTATTATTATTATTATTATTATTATATTATTATTTTTTTTATTTTTTTATTTCTATTATAAATTTTACTTATCTGAATTATTATTATTATTGTTATTATTATTATTATTATTATTATTATTATTATTATTATTATTATTATTATTATTATTATTATTATTATTATTATAATTATTATTATTATTATTATTATTATAATTATTATTATTATTATTATTATTATTATTATTATTATTATTATTATTATTATTATTATTATTATTATTATTATTATTATTATTATTATTATTATTATTATTATTATTAATTATTATTATTATTATTATTATTATTATTATTATTATTATTATTATTATTATTATTATTATTATTATTATTATTATTATTATTATTATTATTATTATTATTATTATTATTATTATTATTATTATTATTATTATTATTATTATTATTATTATTATTATTATTATTATTATTATTATTATTATTATTATTATTATTATTATTATTATTATTATTATTATTATTATTATTATTATTATTATTAGTTATTATTATTATTATTATTATTATTATTATTATTATTATTATTATTATTATTATTATTATTATTATTATTATTATTATTATTATTATTATTATTATTATTATTATTATTATTATTATTATTATTATTATTATTATTATTATTATTATTATTATTAGTATTATTATTATTATTATTATTATTATTATTATTATTATTATTATTATTATTATTATTATTATTATTATTATTATTATTATTATTATTATTATTATTATTATTATTATTATTATTATTATTATTATTATTATTATTATTTATTATTATTATTATTATTATTATTATTATTATTATTATTATTATTATTATTATTATTATTATTATTATTTATTATTATTATTATTATTATTATTATTATTATTATTATTATTATTATTATTATTATTATTATTATTATTATTATTATTATTATTATTATTATTATTATTATTATTATTATTATTATTATTATTATTATTATTATTATTATTATTATTATTATTATTATTATTATTATTATTATTACTTCGCCCCCCAGGCCCTGATGTGGGTCAGTGATCTGTGCCCGGGTGGGGTCATCCACGTAAAAAAAAAAATTAAGGAAACTGAATGTATGTGAAGTAGGAGGAGACAAAAAAAAACGAAAAAGATCAGAAAACGAGGAGGAAAAAACCGTCTAAGCCGCTTTTATCCCAGACTAAAGAAAGCAGCTCATGTACTCCACCAGGTACACTTTATCCTGTACGGTACCTCACGAGACTCCTCAGTCCGTACCATAAAAAACAGCGCCAGCACGAGTAGCTGAAACCGTAAGACGTTCCCCTCCACCACGCAATGACATTTTGATCGGAGTTAATACGCCTAACGAATGTTCGCCTGTCACCTATATACATTACCGCACTTTTATTTTGGGATTCGCTTTGTCAGAAGTCGAGATATAACGTAACACCTTCTGTTAGTAGTGACGGGGAGCAGAAGACTCCTGATGATGGTGAGGACTTACCCCTTAACCACATCTTAAGAAGGTGAAGGTTGTAGTTCCCCCAGTACACACACACACACACACACAAACAACAAACCCCTCGAAGACCATTTCGTACACAAATTTATAACCCAACCCTTGTGAACTTTCCATCCCAATGAAAAAAGACCCAACGCAGGGCTGGCCGAAGTAAACAGAGTGACCATAGTTCAGGGTCTGGCTAGTACCCTCGTGCAACCCTGACGATAGTGACTTGTTTTTAATACGAGTATGTTAGATATGTTGTGATTGTTCATAAGGAGAATATGGGTGGAGAAAAGAGATGACGGAAGATAGAAAGAGGGCGAAGGGGGGATTAAAGAAGTTAGGGAGAGAGATAGAGTGAGAGAGAGAGGAGGGTGGATTTTAGTTTAACAAATTTATTGGCAGAGCTTGTAGTACAGTTTGCCTATTCTGAGTAATTCAGTCAGGTCTTGACACTGAGGGTGGTATCACTTCTAAAGGAAGAGATAAGAGTGAGAGTGATAAAGAGAGGGAAAGATAAGGAGAAGTAGAATATGATACGAGGATATATAGAGAGAGGCAGATAGGGAAAGGGACAGAGATGGACAGATAAATATAGATAGATAGAGAGTTTTGTGTGATGACGCCGAAGGTCAAATGTCAAGAGTCAGATGCCACCTTGAGCACCAGGTGTCACCAAGTTTTAACGTCATTTATACGATGGTGCTGGATCAACGAAGGTCACATTAAAGGGTCACATCTCAAGGTTCACATCAAGGTTCACATCAAGGGTCACATATCAAGGGTCACATCAAAGTTCACATCAAGGGTCACATCAAAGTTCACATCAAGGTTCACTTCAAGGGTCACATCTCATTGTACACATAAGAACATAAGAACATAAGAAAATAAGGAGTCTGCAATAGGCCGGTTGGCCTGTGCATGGCAGCTCCTGTCGAGAGTTACTACCACTCTCTATCATCCATGAATCTATCTAGCCTCCTTTTGAAACTTTCCAGAGTTCCCGCACTTACTACAAAGTTGCTAAGCTTGTTCCACTCGTCCACCACCCTATTTGTGAACCAGTTTCTTCCTATCTCCCTCCTAAACCTAAACTTATCCAACTTGAATCCGTTGCTCCGAGTCCTATCCTGCTCGGATATTATAAGAACTTTATCTATATCCCCTTTATTGATTCCTTTCACCCACTTAAATACTTCTATCATATCTCCCCGCACTCTTCGTCTTTCTAGGGAATGCAAGTTAAGTTTCTTTAACCTATCCTGATATGGAAGGTTTCTAAGTCCCTGAATCATTTTTGTCATTCTTCGCTGCACCGACTCTAGTGAATTTATATCCATTCTATAATAGGGGCACCAGAACTGAACCGCATAATCGAGGTGCGGCCTAACTAGCGCAAGATATAGTTGCAATAAGACCTCTGCACTCTTGTTACTTACACTTCTAGATATAAAACCCAATACTCTGTTTGCCTTATTTCGAACATTAACGCACTGTTTTCTAGGCCGTAGGTCCGGGCTTACAAGTACCCCTAGGTCTCTTTCACAAGTCGACTTCTCTAGGTTGATGTTGTTCAGGCTGTATACATTATAAGTATGTGTTCTTCCAATATTAAGTACGCTGCACTTGCTGGTGTTGAATTTCATTTGCCATTTTTCAGACCACCCCTGCAGTTTATTTAGATCCTCCTGTAATGCATTTGCATCCTGCCCTGAATTAATTTGCCGCCCTATTTTGGTGTCATCCGCAAGCTTGCTTATGTCACTGCTGATCCCAGTATCTAAATCGTTTATGTAGATTTATAGTACTGACTGACCCCTGGGGCCCCACTCAGATTTAACACCATCTACGCTGACCCTCTGCGTTCTATCGGTGAGCCATGATTTTATCCAATTTAAAACTTTCCCCTTGATACCATGAGCCTTAATTTTTCTCAGAAGCCTCTGATGCGGTACTCTGTCAAATGCTTTGCTAAAGTCTAAGTAAATAACATCGTAATTTTCGTCATTATCTACTACCTCGAAGACTTTCCTAAAAAACGTTAGCAGATTTGTTAGACAAGATTTTCCCTTTGTAAACCCATGTTGAGAGTCGTAGATTAATTTGCTTTTCTCTAGATGCGATCGGATGCTATCTGCTATAATTGATTCAAGAAATTTCCCCACTACTGACGTCAAACTGATCGGCCGGTAATTTGACGCTGATGCTCTGTCTCCCTTTTTAAATATGGGTACTACATTCGCCTGTTTCCACAACTCTGGCACAACTCCAGTGTCTAATGATTTTGTAAATAAATTTACGAGGGGTCCGCTAATCTGTTCCCTACACTCTTTTAAGACTCGAGGAAAAATTTCATCCGGCCCTGGGGATTTTGTGTTCTTTAGTTTATTTATCTTCTTAAGAACATCCTCTTTTCTGATGGTGATATTCTTTAATTTCTCTTCTTCCTTTCCCTTA